AACCAACTTGGTCAGCAATTACTCAACTTCACAAACCACAAACACCTAGCTCACCTCGGCCCAGACTTCAACACCTTCTACAACCACACTGGCCAAGGCAAACCTGACATCAATCTGGCAAACTGAGCCAGCTCTCTCTTTAAACACTATGCATATCACCTGGCCCTATCATAGACTCTGATCACATTCCCGTCATCTTACACATCTCCTCCAACCCTATCCTCATTCCAACCACACCTTCCTTCTCCTACAAGAACGCTGACTGGGATGCCTTCAAACAACACATAGACAATATTAACCTCACCTATGACTACAACAACAAACCTATCTCTGACACTGACACTCAACTTGCTCTCATCCAGGACACCATTACACAAGCAGCCAACACCGCAATACCAAAGAAAACCCACACCACTCGTTATTCCTTCGAACCCTCAATCAGAACAACCGCTTCCTCTACAACACACAGATTTAATCAAGTCCGATTAGATCTCACTTACCTCAGAAACAACATACTACACAGTCTAGACCAAGACCACAACAATCACTGGTCACAGCTCATACTACAAGCGGACAAACAGCATATCAAAAATACCAAAGCCTTCTGGAACTTTATCAAAAAAATCAGAGGCACCACTCCCACCAACAAAATCAAACACATCACCCATCACACATCAATGGTCCAAGTCGGACCGAAACGTCGTCGTAAGCTTCTGTCTTTTATGTGCGGGTTATTTGTGTATTGTGTACATCACCCACAACAACACACACATCTCAGACCCGCAGGCTGCTACTAACATCTTCAAACACATCTGGGAAAACATCTTCCACCCTCACCCACCCCACCCTAACACTATCCAACACATTCAGAACATAGAACACTGGAACACTACACACACATACAAAACAACACCAGACAGCCACATCCATCTGGACTCTCTTACCTCCTCCCAAGAACTTGACACTCCTTTCACCAACACAGACGTTAAAACTCTCCTCAGACATCTTCCTCCCAAGGCCCCTGGTGCCTCTGGCCTAAACCATATTATCCTGAAACACCTTCCTGACTCTATCATTACTGCCTATACAAACCTCCTCAATGCCTCCCTTGCCTCTGGATACTTCCCTTCCCTCTTCAAAGCTGCTACTACTATCCTCCTTCCTAAACCCAATAAAGACCACTCTGACCCTAGAAATTATCGCCCTATCAGCCTCCTCGAAACTTTAGGAAAACTCTTTGAGAAACTCATCAACCATCGCCTTCGCAGATACCTGGAACACAACTCTCTACTTTCTGATGACCAGTTTGGCTTCAGAACACAGATCCACACAAGGTGCCATTAACATCATTCTCAACTACATCCACATCTACACAAAACAAAGAAACAGGACAGCCCTGGTTGCAAAAGACGTCGAAAAAGCCTTTGACACTGTCTGGTACGAAGGGCTCAAGTACAAACTCTGCACTAACTTCAACCTGCTTCTCACTACTCGTAAACTCCTCAGCAACTTCCTAGACGGCCGTACCATGAGAATAAAATTCCAAGGCTGTTACTCTGACACTTCACACTAAATGCCGGAGTACCCCAGGGATCTGTCCTCTCCCCTACCCTCTACATTTTATACACTAACGACATTCCAACACCTGTATACCACAACTCCATCACACTAGCCTATGCAGACGACATTACACAACTTATCACTCATGCCAATATAGATACACTCACACACAAAACACAAAATGAGGTCGACAGGATAGCCATCTGGGAACAAAAATGGAGGATCAAAACCAATGCAGCTAAATCCAGCATTACGTATTTTAACTACAGGAAACGTGATCCTCCATTACCTGTCGATCTCAGCACAGCTGACACCCGCACTTACATCCCCATCACACAATCTGTCACTGTCCTTGGCGTTAATCTTGACTACCTTCTTCGTTTACACGGACACATTCACTCAAGGCATGCAATAGCTAGTAAGGCCCTTGCGGGCCTCTACAAACTGAAACATGCCTCTCAACGCACCAAACTACACCTCTACAAATCCCTAATATGTCCTCTGATAACTTACTCTCCTCTAGCTCTCTCTCTTGCAGCAAAAACAAACTTACTTAAACTGCAGCGTGTCCAGAACAAGGCGCTGCGCTGGGTGCTTGATGTCAGATGGGAGGACTTCGCCACAAGCGAGTCTCTCCATACCCAATAAGACATCCCTGCGCTGAATCTGTACTGGAAGACGCTCAGTGACAGACAGATAGACAAACTTGAGACACGACTTGACTACTAGACCTCTCTCCTTGACGAAGACATTCGCAGACCCACAAACCAACAAAACCTTTTCTACTCCTTGCATGATCCTGCTCCTAACCCTATTTACAAATAACCTTGGATTCTATGACAGGTACCTTCTCTGACAGGTACCATTCTCTGACCCACGTTCGCCTTAGCTTTTGGGTTAAGACATGGCCCAGTTCTACACTCCTTTCTAGCGCTAAACGTCGCATGTCCCTTCCTCCCCGCTCACCCCACCGGAGTCCCAACAGAAGAGCCTGAATTTCTCTTCTCAATATCTGTCCCACGATCGCCTTCGCTGCTGGGTTAAGCCCTGGCTCTATTTCTACGACTAAGAACACTCCTCTCCAGCACTATTCTTCATCTGTCCCGTCTTCCCCGCTCATCCCATCTGGGATCTTATCTGAACTTTCGTTCGTTCGTGCTTGATCTTCAGTTAGTTCCAGACTTTGGAACAGAACTTCTCCAGGCTGAGGGACTGACAACCTCAAATCTACGACTTCAAGGGTGATGGACTGATTACATCGTCTTCACATCTCTACTGCTCCTGCCTACTTTCTGTACTCGACTGAAGAAGCCTACTGTGTAGGCGAAACGTTTCGGAATAAAGTTGCCTATGTGTCTTATCTACAGTAGGATTCTTCAGTCAAACACAATGACAGCAGATGTGGCAGTGAAGGTGATGTAATCAGTCTATCAACCTTGGAGAAAAAGTATTTGAGGTGGTCAGTCCTCAGCCTGGAGAACAGTTCAGTGCCATGGTCTGGAACAAAGTTGTCAGTCCCTTAGCCTGTAGAAGAGTTCAGCTACATGGTCTGGAACAAGGTTGTCAGTCCCTTAGCCTGGAGAAGAGTTCAGCAATACTGAGGGACTGATTACCTTGTCTTCCACTGTCTTATGTATATAGGTCTGCAAGACTGAGGGACTGATTACCTTGTCTTCCACTGTCTTATGTATATAGATCTGCAAGACTGAGGGACTGATTACCTTATCTTCCACTGTCTTATGTGTATTGGTCTGCAAGACTGAGGGACTGATTATCTTGTCTTCCACTGGTTTTTGTAAATATGTCTAGTCTTTAGATTATACCTATGTACTGATAAAGCCACTGGATGGCGAAACGTCTACGTGTAAAGATACTCAGATGTTGCACATGTGTCTAATTCCTCGTCTTCTGCAACGGAGCCGTGTCAACAGTGATTCTAACTTCAGCACCTTACAGGTACCGTGTCTGTGTAGCTGTGACAGACTCCAAAAACCGGACCCGCGCCCTCCAACCATCCCAGTGTCATGGGTTCTACGTCAGTCATGCCCACGCGCCCACGCCCACCCTCATCTTCCTCCTGACCACCCTCATGGCTTCCCTATGGCTCAGGTGACAACTATATGAGACGCTCAGGTGACAAGAATGCTGTACAAGCGTCGCTGATAGCTCTCTAGTATAAAGGTTATACTACATTACAATCTCACACAAATATGATACACTTCTCCGCTCTCTCGTAAGTGCAATAATTAACCAGTAAACAAACCACTCTACGGGTGGGGATTGAACTCGCGGTGAATTGTAAAACTCCAGGCCAGTGCGTTAGCCACTGGGCCAGTTGTCTGCAACAAGATTCATCCAACTAGGTATATATATACACCATAGGAAGGTTAGCATAGGCCACCACTGTGACCACAAATGCAAGTTTTTACAGATGAATCTCCCGCCAGCGAGGCCGTGATGAACTCTAGCTAAAGTCCCCTCATAGCCGTCATTATGACGATTTCTTGAGTCATGACCAGTAACCCAGGAGCGTCTAGGATGTGGTCCACTTGTCTGTAGAATGTGCCACACTGAGATCTTTTGCCATATTTCTTGTATATAATTAGTTACCAGGCTGGAAGGGCATGACCTCCCTGGAAGGACATGACTTCCCTGGAAGGACATGACTTCCCTGGAAGGACACGACTTCCCTAGAAGAACATGATTTCCCTGGAAGGGCATGATTTCCCTGGAAGGACATGACTTCCTTGGAAGAACATGGCTTCCCTGGAAGGACATGATCAACTCCCTGCCAACTCCACCACTCATGGAGACACCAAGCTGAAAAGGCATGACCTCCCTGGAAGGACATGACCAACTCCCAACTCAACTATTCATGGAGACACCAAGCTGAAAAGGCATGACCTCCCTGGAAGGACATGACCAACTCCCAACTCAACTATTCATGGAGACACCAGGCTGGAAGGACATGACTTCCCTGGAAGGACATAACTAACTCCCTGCCAACTCCACCACTTATGGAGACACAGACGTGACATAGAATACCGACACAATAGAAAAAGAGACACGTATGTAGTGTAATATGAATAATAACAACGTTTCACCCACACACTGGGCTTTAATAACAACGTTTCACCCACACACTGGGCTTTAATAACAACGTTTCACCACAAAACTGGGTTTTAAATAACAACGTTCACCCACACACTGGGCTTAATCAAGCCATAGACAGATCTGTTTACCTGGAAGAGAAGGAACTCTTTTCCAGGATGAGGGGACTGACCACCTCAAAGTTGCTTTCGTCATGGATAGACTGATGACATCGTCTTTATATCTCCACTGCTTCTGTTGTTTCCGTGTCGCCAATCGGTGACAGGAACACAACGAGAAGACTGAAAAGGTTGCAGATGTGGTAATCAGTCCCAAGTCTAGCAGCAGGTGTTCAGTACCGATGTCTTGATGAATGACATCACTTGTTAATACTGTTTGACACTTGACATCACTTGTTAACACGATACCTGACAGTTGATATCACTTGTTAACACTGACACTTGACATCACTTGTTAAAACACGATATCTGTGTGACACGACGTCACTTGTTAACACGATACCTGTCTGACAGTTGACATCACTTGTTAACACGATACCTGTCTGACAGTTGATATCACTTGTTAACACGATACCTGACAGTTGATATCACTTGTTAACACGATACCTGACAGTTGATATCACTTGTTAACACGATACCTGTCTGACAGTTGACATCACTTGTTAACACGATACCTGACATTTGATATCACTTGTTAACACTGACACTTGACATCACTTGTTAACACGATATCTGTGTGACACGACGTCACTTTGTTAACACGATACCTGTCTGACAGTTGACATCACTTGTTAACACGATACCTGTCTGACAGTTGACATCACTTGTTAACACGATACCTGTCTGACAGTTGTTTATCACTTGTTAACACGATACCTGACAGTTGATATCACTTGTTAACACGATACCTGTCTGACAGTTGACATCCCCTTGTTAACACGATACCTGACAGTTGATATCACTTGTTAACACTGACACTTGACATCACTTGTTAACACGATACCTGTCTTACACTTGACATAACTTGTTAACACGATACTGACATCTGACATCACTTGTTAACTAGCTACCTGTCTGACACTTGACATCACTTGTTAACACGATACTGACAAGTGACATCACTTGTTAACAACGATACATGTCTGACACTTGACATCACTTGTTAACACGACTGACAGTTGACATCATTTGTTAACACGTTTACCTGACAGTTGACTTTAACAGCACTTGTTTACACTGACAGTCACTGTCTTGACAGTAGCATCACTTATACACACGATTTCTGATAGTTAAACCTGGTGACATCAATTGTTAACGCTGGCAGCTGACCTGGTGACATCACTTGTTAATACTGACAAATGACCTGGTGACATCACTTGTTAACACTGACAGTTGACCTGGTAACATCACTTGTTAACACTGACAGTTGAACTGGTGACATCACTTGTTAATACTGACAAATGACCTGGTGACATCACTTGTTAACACTGACAGTTGACCTGGTAACATCACATGTTAACACTGACAGTTGAACTGGTGACATCACTTGTTAACACTGATTGCTGACTGCTATCAGTCTGACAGCTGACATCACTTGTTAACACTGATTGTTGATAGCTGTCAGTCTGACAGCTGACATCGCTTGTTAACACTGACAGTTAACCTGATGACATCACTTGTTAACACTGACAGTTGGACTGGTGACATCACTTGTTAACACTGACAGTTGACCTGGTGACATCACTTGTTAACACTGACAGTTGACTTGGTGACATCACTTGCTAACACTGACAGTTGACCTGGTGACATCACTTGTTAACAGACTGACAGCTGACACAACATCACATGTGCTTTTCATAGCGTTCCGTGTCCACATTGGTCCGGCATTATGACTAATGTCAATACCTGTGTATATAACTTTATATATTATTATATATATATATATATATATATATATATATATATTATTATATATATATATATATATATATATATATATATATATATATGTATATATATATTATATATATATATATATATATATATATATATATTTTATTTTATATATATATATATATATATATATATATATATATTATATATATGTGTGTGTGTGTGTGGGTGTGTGTATACATGTGCTGTGTCTGGAGGCAGTACATATTAGTATGTAATTAAGTTTATAATGTCTCATACTGTATAATATAAATATCTTATAAATTTTGTTTCTGTATATACTTTCCCCATAAGCATATATAAATTTTTAAAGGGGGTGTAAGCCAGTGGAAGGCCTCGGTCAGATGACCAAAAGTTCCAGTAGTGGGTCATATGATTAAGATTCCTGGGGAATCTTACCTAAGTTAAGCTTTCCCCATACTTACCTGGAGGTGGTTCTGGGGGTCAGCGCCCCCGTGGTGATTCAGCTTTGTTAAATTAAGACTAATGTGAAAAGATCTTTCTTCTGTGTGGCCATTTAATGGTATAAATCTGACCCAAACGTCGTCATACGTTTATGGTGATATGTGAAGTCTTCTACTACGACTATCACTAAAATACTACTACTACTACTACTACCACTCCAATACTATTACTGCGTTGTAGAACTACCAGTCTCTTTTGTGAGTGCGTCCTGCGTACTTCTTTGGAATTGCGCACTCTGCTGCCTGGGTGAGAACAGTGATTAGCTCCTGTTCAGCCGTATCACAGTCTTCAGAGAGAGAGTATGTGGACCACCAGTCATGAAGATAATCCTGGAACACCTTCCAGTTGGCCCTCTTTACGTCCCATCTAGGAGGCAGCACAACTGTGGGAGGCCTGTTGATGTTGAAGGTGG